GGAGCTGAAGTCCACGCATCTCAAAGTTGCCAAGGTTGAGAAACACTGCTCTAGAGAGACAATGCCAATGGAGATAAAGCATGCAGGACCGTTCATCACATAAGTCAGATAGTTTTTTGAAAGCATAATATGTTCAGTGATGGAGCACAGGCTGATGCAAATTCATTTCCTGACACCTCCAGATAAAATAGGCTCCCCCAATTTGGGTGTCCTCTAGATATGTGGACTTCAACTGCCAGAGCAATGGGCATGGTGGTAGGGAATTCTGGAAATTCGTCCATCTTTTTGAAGGATACCCAGGTGGGGAAGGGTGGAAAAACTCAATCTCCTATTATCAGGACCAGTGATGAGACTGATACCAGGCCATATGCTGTGTTGCTGGTTTTTTATTTTTTTTAAAACATCCATTATGAATTTGACTGGCTTGGCTAAGTCCCAGTTTTTCATGTGAATGATGAAGCAAAACCAATCACATCACAGTTTTTATGTCTTTTGTAATTTTATATGTATTCATTATTTTAACGGATCACGTGAGCCGCCCAGAGTCCCCCATTAGGGGGAGATGGGCGGAGATAAATCTAATAAACAAACAAACAAATAAATAAATATTGGCAGAAAATGGAAAGCGAGGACCAGATTTGTGAAGCGGGATGCTTTTTCTGTTCTGCAGGACTCGTGAACAGGTCCGAGCGGAAGAGGACCTCCAGCAGATAACTGTGGAGCTCAAGCCGAAGTGTGATATTGAGATTGTGGTGCCTGATGTAGCTGCTGCAGGGTTAGAGCGTATTTTTGTTACAGGGCCACCGTTTTCAGGCATAAATTCCTCCGTGCTCTTATTTAACACACGCGCTCTCCAAGTTTGACTTAAGGAGGGGTCTTTATATTGTAGATGGCAATTCAGCTCTGAATGCTCTTCAGTATTCTAAGAAGCCACCCCAAAATCGCAAGCTTTTTTTCTGTTGCAGAGGAAAAACGTAGAATGTAAATGATTGGTTTAAAAGCCACTTGGGATTTAATTGAAAAATAGCCTCCCCCCAATATGTAACCCAAGGATGATGCAATCCCTCTTTCAACTCTGCACCTACTGCACCTAGAAACCAAGTCTGGATGGTGGATTGTTTTCTTAACATCTGCTGTGGGCTGACTTGCCAAAAATCTGATGATAAACAAACAGTCTTGTGCTATTAAAGCAGTGTTGTCCAAACTTGGCCACTTTAAGATGAGTGGACTTCAACTTTAAGATGAGTGAACTTCAACTCCCAGAATTCCCCAGCCAGCCATGCTGGCTGGGGAATTCTGGGAGTTGA